TTAAAGGGTTAAAATACAAAAATGTGACCAAAGGAACTTTTTACGACCAGACGGAAATTTTAATATAGATATTATTCTATCATTTAAAACCATTTGCAGCCGTGTGTTATTCCGGAACATTAAACTCGTTAACTAAGCGTCTTTTTCGAGGTCAGTTGCAGTACTATTTTAAGAAATATAATCTCGAAACTGAATTGTGACTTTCTGTCCTGTAACTTTTTGTCCGTGACTTTTTGTCCGTGACTTTTTGTCCTGTGACTTTCTGTCCTACATTCTAATATATATGCCACTGGACGTACACTAATGATCCCCAAAAAGCTTATTTGAAGAAATAAAGAAACTTCACTCCATATAGACTGATAGTAGATGTATTAACGTCTGGTCAGCTAGAGGGTTGATTAATTTATTTAGTTAGCTTAAAGGGGAGGGGGGGATAAACCATTCCTAATATTGCACTTATGCATAAAATATTAAATGAGAGTAATATAAGAGAAAATATAAATACGAAAAGTCGCATATCTGGTAAAAAAAAGTCTCACTGGCAACTATAGAATTTCACGTACAATTGTCATTCTTAATCGAAATAATGGATAGTCATTAAAATACATGCTTGTACACTTTGATAAAAAGGGGTGCTGCAGTTGCATATTATTCATTATAAATCTATTTCAAGTATATACTTTCCTGTCATTCTTATAAGTTAACGCAGAGACATGTAACTTTACACCTCTAGTTGACGACAATCAACCATATAAATATTTGAATTTGATGTGACTTACCGTTCATCTCTTTCTTTTTTCTTCTTTTTTTTTTTTTATTTGGGCAGGTACACAAACATTGTAATGTTAGATATACTGTTCCCAGGTTGGGAGGGGGCGGTGGTTGGAGGTGAAGTATATCGAAAGTTACAAAATAAGAACGTTGTATTTATGAATTTACATGAAGAATTCTGATCTTGGGCGTAGGTTTCTTTTTTTTTTTAAGTTCAGTGATTTAAATTGAGAGAAAAAAATCTAGTCAGAATTTAAATCGTACCGGCAATTTCCACCTAAGACTCCTCTAAAATCATGAATGGTCATGCTTCTCAATCATCAGAATTTTCTTTGCATTGATACATTCTGTATCGGTAGTGATTTACCTTGACATTTCCGGGTATAACAGAGCTACTTGTATATTACCTGTATGTGGTTAGGTGACGTCCCATGAGGTCTTACGTATACAGGTTCACATTTATAATGGTTTGTGATATAACAAGGTTTTATGACATTCCGCTTCTGCATGTTCTGTATACCAAATTCTTATCTTATTTTCAGACCAAACGAGGATGTGAATATTTTCCAGGAAAAATATTGAGTATCAAAGTATCAAATTAATTTCGGGATTTTTTTCTTTCTTAGTATTAAATCACAGAAACTTAAAGAATATACTGCTTGTCCGCTTTAGGTGTATTCTTGTCAGTTAAGACTGACATATATGTCTCTGGTATATAGCAGGTTTATGAATGAATGATAAGTCTTGCAAAGGTACAAGATATAAAGCACATTGAAAATTGATTCCGCCGGTCTGTCTCCATTCAAAAAAGGAAAGTTGACGTTAGATTGATTCTGTTATTTTTTTTAAACATCGTTGGTCAAATAGCTAAAGTATGTATACGTTGTGAGATTTTAAATATTTTAATAAGGGCATTCCCGATTAGGTAAATGTAGATCGCTGTGGACGGACCAAGCTATATTAATCATGTAACAACCGCGATAATTTTCTCTAAACATTGAAATATTCAAGGTTAATACCCATGATAATTTGAAAAAATAAGTACAGTGTTTGGTTTATACGCTCGTTTTCGTGGGCCATTTTTATTTATAAAATTATTTAATTGAAAGTAATTCAGAATTTCGATGTTACAACAAAATACTCACCTATCTATTTTAAAATTAAGCTTACGCAAAATATAAAAGATATACATGTATATAACGGCGATTCAGGTATTTTGCCACCATATTCCTCCCCAAATAATTAATGTTTTTATCATTCATACGAAATGTTGTTCACACCTGTAACGGTGAACCGTGTTGGCTAAAATTCACTGAGTGAAGATCAAAAGAATAGAATTACAGAATGCTAATCTTTTAATTACCTTGAATTTAACCACGCATTCAACAGGTGGTCACTAAGTGTCACAGTACAATACACATTGTATTTACACAGTACTAGTGGAAAATGTTTGCTAGACTGAAGTAAAAGCCTTCAGGTGAGAATACAAACATGCATTTGTAAAACAATATCAGTTATATATGTTTGTTCAACATATCCGTCGGAAAAAAAATTCATAAAAATATATTCTATTGTATGATTTATTTTTATTACTATAATCATATCAGAAATCCTTTAAATATAAATCGTACATTTTAATTTTGAAAGTTGCACGGCTGATCACTTTACTTCCTTCATTATTAGTTGGTTAATAGCTACGCCAAAAGTCGTCGATGCGCTTTAAATCGCGTTGTTAGATGATTAACGAACAAGACTTACAATGAGATTTATTCACTCCCGGCATGCAAAAAGACTTAAACTACGTCACATAAGTCAGGAAGTTGGAATAAATTAAATTATTAATTCCCAATTTTCTTCTTTATTAGTGTTCATATCCAGATAAAACTTGGTAAATATGTTTTTTATGGTATTATGAACATAATAAGATGAAAAGTAAAAAATCGCGAATTTTCCCTTTAACAAAATATTGTCTGAATGTCATCATGTTTAAATGTTACTCATTTTTTTTGTAAATTAATAAAGTTGATTTTGTTGTAATCATATTTTCTTTTTCATATAACCAGTAACCTATCCTTGGAAGGTCCCTGTTGATAAATGCCTTAGACGTATAATCAACTGTAATCATTTATATCAGAAAATCAAAAAATCAACGCAAATGGAGGCTATATAAATGTCTATAAGATATCAAGTTAAGAACACAAGTTAACTATCAAAGATCCATATTGCATAGTCAGCTGGAATTATCCTACTAGAAATATTTTATTTTACCAGTAATCATAAATAACCTAGTTGCCTCTGCGAATTAATATGGGGCAAACAATTAAAACAAGAATGCACATGTTGTCGTTCTTAGCACAACCCCACTTGCAATTGAAAGTATTTGAAAACAGGAAGTAGGTGTCCAACAGATCAAAAAGGCACACACACAATCACACCCACACATTACAGCTCATCACTGTAAGGCTGCTGACAAAATTCAAAATCATTTTATTTAGTAGTACTTGAAAAAAGTGTGATGAAAAATTTTAAGTTCATTTAACATATTGAAAAAAATTTAGAGTATCAGCAAACAGGAAGTTGCTGTCCGACATATCCAAACATATCACTTTCAAGCTGCTGACTATATTCAAACTCATTCTGTTTAGTAGTACTTGAGAAAAGTGTGAAAAAAAATGTAAGTTGATTCAACATACTTAAAAATTCCTATTTTAGACACACAGGAAGTTGTTGTTTATTAAGCAGATTTGAAAAGTGCTCACTCTATACAACTCATCATTGTCAATGCAAGCTGCTGACCAAATAAAACCTTAAGTCAATCTTTTTAGTAATACCTGAAAAAAGTGTCACAGAAATATTTGATTGGCGAAGGGACAGTTAAACAAATAAATGGACAGACAAACAGGTAGATGGAAAGACAAGGTGAATGCAATACATATATAGCCCCAACTTTTAGACTGGGGGTATAATAGACAATCAGTCATTCTTCTGTCTTGTTTATTACATGTATTAAGAATTTTAACCTTTAATAAATATGATTTTGACAGTATAGTTTAGACTAGTTAATAAATGATTCATGTGGGATACAATTTATATTGATTTTATCACAGTTTGGCCCTTTATGCCATATACTTCACCACCAACGATAGCAAAGGATAAAATTTCGGATTAAAAGGTCTACCATTGTAAAATGAGTATATAATTCAAGCCCTTATTAAATAATATTTCTAGTCTAATAGGACAAAGACAGTAATCCCTTTGGATCAAAGTGCTCTAGGTAAAGGAAAATATTTGTGTTCCTCAAATTGAACTTCTAATATTGACATACAGGGAGTTAGGATGATGTTAAAAGATTATGAAAATGTAATTATTATGTATGTTTCTGTCCAAAAAGAAGGAATTGACCCTCATAAGATCCAGTAATCACATTTCTCAGTGCCGTTTTCACTATTGTGCATTTTCAATTTCACAATGTTTTTACTATTACATCACAATGACATCATATTTTAGACCTATATCACTTTCATTTGTATAATTACATACTTTTTAACTCAATAAATTTAATAAATCTAACTTTTTATTTATTTTTTTGTTGTTAGCTGGATGTATAAATACCCTGCCATGTCCAGTCTGTGTTTTTGTTAGATGTTTCTCTGCTTTGTATCCATCTGACATTTGTCTGATGAGTTAAGCCCTCATTCTTCATGTGCCTGTCCTGAGTCAGGAGTCTGTAGTTCAGTGGTTGTCGTTGGTTTTGTTATTAATTAGGCAGTTAATTTTCTCAATTGAATTGTTTTATATATTTCATGTCGAGGCCTTTTACAGCCGACTATATGGTATGGGTTTTTCTCATTGTTGAAGGCCATAGGGTTGCCTATAATAACTTACATCCACTTCATTTGAACTTTGGTGGATAGTTGTCTCATTGGCAATCATACCACATCTCCTTATTTTTATATTGTATCACTGTTTGTTTATGTTTTCATGTTTATTTTATATCTGCCTGCGAAGTGCTAGCAAATTGGAATCGCCCAAACAAATCATGTTGTTGCTGATCAGCTAACATACAATATATACATATTTTACCATGGGTATATACTCAAAGTGTTTGCCAAGCATCATATTTGAATCCAGTATATTACCTACCTACATACAACATACACATGTCTTACCATGGGTGTATATTCAAAGCCTTTGCAGAATGTCATATTTGAATCCAGTATATTACCTACCTATGAGAACAACAGCTATACTTTCTGGTAGATAGTGGAACTTTGTCTGAATCAGTCCATGAGTTACCATAATACATATTGCTGAAAAATATACGAGCACTTATTAATAATATGAATTAAAGGAGTTACCATAATACATATTGCTGAAAAATATAAGAGCACTTATTAATAATATGAATTAAAGGATACACATGTTAAAAGATAACACAATTGGTATATTCTATTTGTAGTATAATTATTCTTTTGCCAGAAGAAGAAGTTGAAAATTTTCATCAATTAGAAAGACAGGGAAAATACTGGTTGTCTTGATTTTTTATTTTTGCTTGTATGACATGTATGAACTTCACAAAGTTTGTCTGAATTAAGTGAATACAGTGACAGCCAATCATAGTTATACTGTTAAATTAAGTTCAAGCAAATTGTGAAATATTTTTACCTTGAAGGTGTTAAAAAAGCAATTGTGATTAAAACACCTTAAATTCCAATATTATTTAAATTCTTCAGTATGTAAACAAAAAAAGATATGCAGAGTTGTTTCACTTGTTTAGACATGAAAATTACTGAGATCAAGATTTTACTTCATATATTACAAAACTTTTGTAAAAGGTTCCTTGTGACCCTATGTCTTGACTGCTATTGCTACTGTCAGTGTGAAAGTGTAATATTGATGGCAAAGTATTCCCATTTATCAGTAAAATACACACAGACAGAAATGTACACATAACAATCATTGCATACACCAAACATAGTTGACCTATTGCTTATAGAATGTTAGAAGAGGACCTAACTACTGAAACATAACATTGACCAATGAACCATAAAAATGAGGTCAAGAACAAATGACACCTGTCAGACAGACATGTAAACCTTACAATCATTCCATACACCAAATACAGTCGACCTACCGCTTAAAGTTTTAGAAAAATAAAAACGAAATCAGTAGGGTTATGTGAGCCCATTAGTCAAACATGCATTGTCTCATTATTAAAGGATGTACAAAATTGTTGCATCCTTGGTTTTTTTTTTCTATTGTGGATCACTGATGTGGATAGTTGTCGCACTGACAACCCTTCCAAATTTGATAATTTTTATAAACCTTACAATACTACTTAACCAAATACAGCTGACCTATAACTAAGTGTATCTGAGAATCTCTCTTGTTCACAAAAAACCGAAACTTTAATTATCGAACCATGACTTGCGGGGAGGGTCAGGTAACCCCTGAAACTGGGTATGTACATCTTAAATTGATTCCAAAGATCAATTGATCATTTACTAAAAATGCATACAGATATACATACCAAATTTTTTTCCATTTATATCATCATTTAAGGATTAAAGTACTTCTGAGTTTTACTGTGCGCATTACTGTGTGTTTGTGTTTTCCACATTGGCTATAGGCCGGCTAGGTATAGAGGAGGTTTGAGATCTCACAAAACATGTTTAACCCCATCACATTTTTGAGCCTGTCCCAATGTAGGAACCTCTGGCCTTTGTTAGTCTTATAAGTTTTTTTAATTTTTGTTCAATTTTATGTTTCGGAGTTTAGCGTGACGTCCATTTATGCTGAACTAGTACACATTATTATTTAGAGGCCAGCTGAAGCCCATCTCTGGGTGCGAAATTTTCTTGCTGTGTTGAAGACCTTGTTGGTGGCCTTGGGCTGTTTTTTGTTCTTTGGTCGTGTTGTTGTCAATGATACATACCCTGTTTCCATTCTCAATTTTATAACTAAATACAAAATATATCAATGTCAAACATCAAAACCATAGTGGACACATGCTTAATTCAGATCAAAGCTGAATATTTTGTTGAAATTTTGGACCATGCACACAAGATAAAATCTAATTCATGTATGACAAATCAAAGTTTTAAAAGGTCATCAACAATACAAGCAAAGTATTAATCTAAGTAAAATATTCTGAACTAGAAAATTTGACTCTATGAACTACAAAAATCCTTTAATGATTGTATTGATAATTTCTAATAGTTATAATCAGAAATCATCATTGATAAATATGGATGATTTTGTATTTTTTACTGATGAAAGGTTAATATGAACAACTAGTAACATGTGACAATGACACAGGTGTTCAATCATAAACAGAAATAATTATTATTTTTACATACTATAGTCAGAATTTTATCAAAAAATTTATTAATGCAAGTTATCAAAAACAATGCATTCACTACATTAAAGCTTATGCAAAACAAGCATTCTGAGAGTATTGCATGGCAATACATAGTCCCCTACAGGTTAAAAATTCATTGCATTGGAACAAAATGTTAACTTGATCTTTAACTTGCCATGTTGTAAACTATATACTAAATATCAAGTCAAAATCTTCCAGCATGACGAAAAAAAGTGTTGAAAACTGATTATTTTTAAAAGTGAATTTTCTAAGTCCAAGGATCATTACTCTGCACAAAATCATCAGACTGGAACAAAATCTGAACTTGATCTGTAACTTGTCATGATAAAACTATATACCAATTATCAAATCAATATCTTCAAGCATGATGAAAAAAAGTGCAGAAAACTGATTATTTGAGTGAATTTTCTAAGTCCAAGGACTATAACTCTGTACAAAATCATCAGACCGGAACAAAATTCGAACTTGATCTGTAACTTGTCATGATAAAACCATACACCAATTATCAAATCAATATATCCAAGCATGAAGAAAAAAAGTGTGGAAAACTTGATTATTTGAGTGAATTTTGTAAGTCCAAGGACCATCACTCTGCACAAAATTATCAGACTGGAACAAAATTCAAACTTGATCTGTAATTTGTCATGATAAAACAATACACCAAATATAAAATCAATATCTCCAAGCATGAAGAAAAAAAAGTGTGGAAAACTGATTTGCGGACTGACTGATGGACAGACAGACGTACCGAGTGCAAACCTAAAGTCCCCTTCAACTTTGTCGGTAGGGGATTAATTACTAAATAATCAAGTTTTAATAGAAATTTTTATTCATAGCAGATGTTTTTTTAAGTTTGCATTTTTTGTTTGCATAAATAAAAACATTCAACTGATTACTGAATTCACAGTATACAAATTTCTTGCAATCTTATAAAACAACTGACTTGGACTCAATTATATTGTACATGTATCATAAATATATGACTTTTCATTTCATCTTAATCATTCTTAATGAAAAAATCTGTTATGACATGGGGAATTCTTGGGCATCAGACCTGCATGCCACAATAGATTATTCTAAAATTTATTTCCGATAAGTAACTAATTTAGTTTGCTAAAGATTTCAGACTTGTTTTAAACAAAAATTTAAAAACTAAATACACAGTTATATTCAGCATATCAAAGAACCCCAATAATTCAATTTTTGATAAATTCAAACAAAGACTAATTTTGGACCCTTTGGACCTCAATGTGGACCAATTCGAAAACGGGGCCCAAAAATCAATCACAATCTTCCTTTTGTAGTATGCATGGAACTTTGTGGTTCAATTTCATAAAGATCCATATGCATACACTTGATCTCAAGATATGGTCTGGAAATCATATGTCTTCAAACTACGAGAACGACAACTACAAAGCTGACAACTTCATAACTTTATACACCCACAAACTTTTAAAACTGTTGTTTGCACCCAAAGGGATTATCTGGTTTATCTTGGAAAAGGAGATAACTTTATAACATTACCAGTAGAACCTACCTACTACCAAAAGGATGAAAAATATGGTCATACTACTATGGTGTTCCTGTTCTGCAGCCCCTTTTTCTGGAAGCTCTGGTCCCACTGGTTTTGTGGGAGCCTTGGTAGGTGCCAGAGTCGTAGAGGTGGTGGTGGTGTTGGTCTCTGTTCCATTTAGAAATGTACTACAAAATATATTATATAATAATAAATAAATGATTCTAATTCACATTGTATCAATGAAATTATTGTTTCAAAATTCCAATTGGGATTTCAATTTTCAATTTCAATTAGACAACAGCTTGTATTTTCCATATGAAAGCTACTACGTTTAACATTCCCGGTATATATATATATATATATGTGAGTACGTCTTAACAAGTGACAACTCTATGACAGATCCATCCATTGGATCACCAGTGAAGGTGATACAGGGCTGAAAACACATATTATATTCATTATTACTCTAAATATCAGCACAACAATGTTAAATCTGCAAATTTGCAAAAGCAAATTTTTGTTCTTCCCTTGCTAGGATTCGAACTCATGCTATTGAGATATCGAGACAACACCGCCTGCACTGCAAAATGCACTGTGTCCAGCGCTCTAGACCACTCAGCCACCTAGACTGAACTAAAAATTCAGCTTTCGGTGGCCTAGTGTTACCTTTCCTCGTCAGTAGAATATAAGAGTTGTAACACAGTACATGATAATATTAGACATTCAGATGGAATTGATTGCAGATAAGCTAAATTATCTGTCCTAAAGGATCGTAAGATGCAGTCACAGAAATAAGTACGTCTAAACAAGTGACAACTCTATGACAGATCGATCCATCCATTTATGTATATCATTTAAAGATCCTTCATATTCTTTCAGAAACCAATATAGAAAAGAATTTACATGAAATTGTTAGTTTTCCAAGATTTCAAAATTATTCGTATTACTTTCAAAACTGCAAAACAGCTTTAAACCTGATGATATGCCATTAATTTAACAAAAGAGAAACCTTAGTCTTATAATACACAATGTGTAAAATTCATCTAAAAATTCACCCTTTATCTAAATTTACCACAAGAGTGCACACACTGAAATGTCTTGCCTGCTTGACTACCATTGATTTTATGTTGATAGCCCCAAATATAAAGTTTTACTTCAAGTATCACATTAACTTATCATGATCCAAGAAAATGAGGTCAAGGTCAGATAAACCAAGACAGAAATACATGTACACCTTACAATCATTCCATACATTGAATATAGTTGACCTAAAAAAAAAATGTATGGACCAATTGGTTAAAGTATACAAGAAGCAGACCAAACCATGAAATTTTTATATTGACCAATGAACCATGAATATGAGGTCAAGGTAAGATGAACCCTGCCAGACAGGCATGTACACTTTACAATTATTCCATATATATAGATCAAATATAGTTGATGTATCAAATATAGTATCTAACATGTCTAAGAAACAAACTTAACCTCAAAAACTTATCATTGACCAATGAACCATGAAAATGAGGTCAAGGTCAGATGATACCTGCCAGACAGACATATAAACATTACAGTCATTCTATACACCAAACATAGTTTACCTATTGCTTATAGTTTAAGAAAAACAGACCAAAACACAAAAACTTAACATTGAGCAATGAACCCTGAAAATGAGGTCAAGGTCGAATAAAACCTGCCAGACTTACATGTACATCATAAATTATTTCCATACACCAAATATAGCTACCTATTGCATAATATAGTATTAGAAAAATAGACCAAAACACAAAAACTTAACTCTAACCAGCTAACCACTGATCCATGAAATGAGGTCGAGGTCAAGAGAAAACTGTTTGACAGGCACGAGGACTGTGCAAGGTATGCAAAAGTCGCAGGCTCGACAAAAAACTATCTATTCTATATATATACAAGTACTGTGATCTTACTTGAAAAGAATTGAAGAATTTTGTTATTTATAAAGTTTCAGGGACCAAATATTATTATAAAATCAACCTTATAACCACAAAAATTTAATGCTCACCAATGAACCATTAAAATGAGGTCAAGACAAGATGAACCCTACCAGCTAGACAGGTACTCCTTACAATTATTGCATACACCAAATATAGTTGCATGACTTGTTGCTTATAGTATCTGAGAAACACTGACAAAACCACGAACACTTAACATTGACCAAATGAACCATAAAAAAGAATTGTGGAGTATATGTCAGTGAGACATTAACCAGACAACATAAATAACCAAAAGTCATCTAGAAGACAACATACAATCTTCAGCAATAGAAAGAAGTCTAGACAACATGTCAGGTTTCGCTCACCCTGATTCTAAAAAAGAAGTGAATTGATTTACCGGTAACAGACTTTATAAGATCTGCATACAATCAACCTAAACTTCCCCAAAATGATTGAAAACACATTAAGATATGACAGAAGACAACTATTACTGATTCAACCATCTTCGCTAGCGTTACAGAGGGGCCAGAGGAGAGGAGGGGACTGGATTGTAAACCTTGGCTAGTGAAGATGTGATTTAACAAGATTCCACCAATAAATTTTTTAGCAAGTTTATTTAAGAGAGTACTACTAGTGAGGGCAGCAGATCGAGAATAAATTAACATTTTTTTTATTCAATTATATACCATATGGCTATCTTTAATTTGTGGACATATTAATATATATAAACTGTCAATTATCTATCAATAAAATACAAAAAGTCATTACCGGTAAACATTATTCATCATACATGTCATATTTAAGTTTACATCAAATGTACATCATTGTACATGGAATAACATGTTATGAGCAAATTGGTGTGCCTGTTTTTTTACTTTGTACTATGAAACTTAACTTTTGTCTATAGATGTATCATATAGTTTTAAAAAATTCAAACTTTTCATTTTAACTCTTGTCCATTTTCATGTAAGAACATGAAGAATAGCCATTCAAATCACTTGACATATTTTAACATCATCCTAAGCATCTTAAATGAGGGGAGGGAGCAGTTATAAAATAGGGGACATTATCACAAACTTTTGAATCTTTTTCCATATAAGGAAAAGCAATGTACTATTATTAGATACATTTTTGGATTTGAAATTGACAAAAAAATCCAGTTCTTACCATATAAGCAACATACCAAACCAAACATATTTGATAAATCCTGAATTTAATATTTTACAGGACATCTTACAACCACAAAATACATGTAAAGCTGTTTGTATCACCTGAATGTAATATATTATTTATTAACAGATAGTAATCGAGATTTAATGGTACAATTTTCCTTAATATTTCATGTACATGTTTGTCAAGCAGTTAAAAAATTTCAAATAATCTTCCAGTTTGACAAATCGTTGTAGTATTTGTAAATTCATATATTCTCTGAAGAATAAATCAGAAAGAATCTAAGTACCTTGCAACATCAAACATGTATTACAGATATTCTCATAAATTAATTATCATCATTTTCTATGCAAAGTAACTTATTTATTAGTTATAATTGCCTTTGAACCAGCTTTCAGTAACTGTGAGTACTCTTAGATCAGTACTGTGTCTTTAATAGAATAGAAAAACCAAGGATATGGGGTATCCATCCATGACACAAAATCAGTCTTTTTGATAATAGTTTTTTTGTGCTTTTTGTCCAGCTGATGAGTCAAATCAAGTTCTGGTTAACTGATATTTACAGTATGTTCTTCTGTTGTGCTGTTGCAAAAATGTCCCAGTAAGGGGAAGAATGAGCATTGCAAACATGTTTAACCCAGCCACATATTGTGTCTGTCCCAAGTCAGGAGCCTGTAATTCAGTGGTTGTCGTTAGTTGCTGTAATTATCACATTGGTTTTTGGTTAATTGTTTTGTACGTAAATCAGGCAGTTGGTTTTCTTGTTTGATATATAATATAGCTTATTATAAGGTATGGGTTTAATTCATTGTTGAAGGCAGGAATAAAAAAAAATAATCCCACCCTCAATATTTTGTTTGTATAAAAATTCTTTTTGCAGGACTCACTTGAAATGTTACTTAGCAAAAGATACATTGCAATATTGAAAATGGAAGGTTTTATGAGATAAAGGATATCTGAGGTATTAATCAGTGAGACAGCAACATGCATGACCCTCACCAAAAAATAAAAAGCTAGCAAAATTGTTTTGCCAATTTTCTAAGTTGTTAAGGTGCATAACATCTTTAAAAATTGAAAACAGGACTTATCCTTTAACTCTCTTGAGCATACTAAAGCTTGTGAAGAATTATCTTAAAATCAAATTTGAAGAGAAGTAAATTTACTAATAAAATGCTTCCATGACATTATGCTATCACCTGTATCACTTTGAATAAGGGACAATCAGTATCACCCCTCTTGGAAAATTGTGGGCATTTTATATCAACCAGTTTTCTGAACAATGTATGATAACCCATTATGTTCATATAAGTCATAATATGCATAACATCTTACAACTGTTGCCACTCACATTTACACTGTTATATGGAAACAAAATGTCATAAGAAAAAAGGTCACAAAATTTGTAGGAAAAACAGTCATTTTGCGTATTTTGCATAATAGAAACAAGTGTTTTCTTAAATGTTTCACCAGCAAACCAAACTTATCAACGTTGGTTCATTCATTATGACGTCGGTGATATGTCGCGGTAAATGTATTTGACATCACAAAGCTGTGATATGCAATTTTATTAAGAGCTGAGCAGAGTGATACAGACAGTGGGATGACCAATAAATATGAATTATATGTCTATGATGTAGGGAAAAAATTCACAGGAAGATTATCTGAAACTTCATAATAATTTGTGTCTTACCCCGGTATATATATATATATGTAGTGTTAATATCAATTGCTTCAATGTTTGTGTTTATTGCAATAGAATTAACTTTCCAAAAGTATATAAACAAAATGCTGTCCATGTAAATGCCAAAGGTTTTTTTTAAACAATTCAACAGATGGTTATTAAACATGCTGTCTTAAAAAAGTTAATTGTTTTTGTTTTGTTTTGTTTTTTTCATTTACTTACCAATAAAAGTTCCATATAACTTTTTGTAATAGAAAAGAAATGAAAAGCTATTTAACTTTTTAATGAAATCCAATTAAAAATCTTTATAAGAAAAATACATTGAAAATTTTAACAATAAAAGTTCCATATAAGTTTTAAAAAA